CACTGAAGTACAACAGAGTATACATTCTTTTCTGCAGGACATGGTACCTTTTCCAAAACAGCTCACATGTTAGTCCACAAAGCCTGCTTAAGTAAATATAAAAGAATCAAAATTGCCCCATGTATACTGTTAGGAAAATAGAAATTAGAAATCAATTTATTGAAAAATAGAAATTAGTGATGGGAGAAACCAAGTCTGTGGCCCATATTTTAATGGAGTTGAGTGGTTTTTCTTTTTGATGTTGAATTGTAGTCTCCTTGTTATTTTTCTGTTCCAGAATCTTTTGACTATTTTATCTTAATTTATTGTAGATTAAGGTTTTTTTTTTTTTAGTTCTTTCAATTCTTCTCTTAACAAACAATCCTGAGTGGATTTAGACTGAAATAGCATTCAATTATAATATTAATTCAGGAAAGAAATAATATGTGTACACTTATTTAAATCTTTTGTTTCCATAGTTTTGATTTTCACTTAGGTCCAGAGCTTTTTTTTTTTTTTTTTTTTTTTTTTTTTCGGTTTTTCTCCGGTACCGGGAACCGAACTCACGACCTTGCGCTTGCCAGGCAGGCGCTTTTGCCGCTGAGCTAAACCCCCAGCCCCAAGCGTTTTTGATAAACTTACTCATAAGGGAAGAGTGTAGGTGCACATGTCTGTGTGTGCAATTTTTTTGTTGCAAAAGAACCTATTTTCTATTTTTCTCCTGGTATATAAACAAGCAGTTAATGTTGCAAAGTACATATTTTGTTAGCATCCTATCAGGTCTATTTAGATAACATTTATACAATGAAACTCTGCCATGGAAGCTAAATTCTTAGACATGCACATGATTGTTAGTGAGAGTGTTTAGCAATACAGAGTTAACTGGGAGCAAACTTGCAGCCACTGTTTTGAGTATAGATAGTTTATTTCTCTCAGTACTTACTGTATTTTTTTATTGCTTTGGGTAGGTTTACTTTAATTTTACAACAATTTCTAGTTGCTGTAAATTATTACTACAAAGATCACCTCCTTTATGCAGTTCCATTTAAAGAACCTACAAGATAATCATAGCTATAAACATATTCTTGTCTTTTGTATCTTAACTCTACTTAACATTTTCTCTTCGTGAGAGAATGTACTATGGAATGGCTTTGTCACATGCAGGCCTTATCAGTGCTTATACATGCATACTGACCGCAGTGATCTCCATGCTATTGTCTAGTTTCAATCCCTGCTAACCTTGACAGGTGCTCCACCTCCTAACTTGTCACCTCAATTTCAAACTTGTCAGTTCTGTACTCCACTACCTCAGGATCAAGTTCTAGTGCAAATGCTAGGAAAGCTGCAAATTTCCAAAAATTAAGATCTAGATTTGCTAGCCTGGCATTTAATGCCATGTGCCTCCCAGCCATAAACTAGCTACCTACCTACCTCTCCATCCCTATTTTTTTTTTTTTCTTCCCCTGGATACCTTGTTTCCACTAACTTGCGAACCAAGAGCAGTGTATCTTCTTATAATTAGATGCAATGTCTTCTTCAGTAGAGGACAATTTTTATGCGAATATTTGGTAGTGATTTCTCTTTTTTTTTTTTCCACTCTGATTTTATTGGTACTTGGTAATGATTTCTACTGTAAGATGTCAGGTATTTTGAGCACTGGATACATTAGACCCTTGTTATTACTTGGAGTTACCTTACTGGGTAAGTAAATATTTACTTGATGTGAATCCTCTGTCTTGATACTTATTAAGATGAGCTGCGCTGTGCAGTATAGTTAATGTAGTGAACTGTGTATGTGTTTAACTAACTGAAGCTCATCTTCACAACACGTACATTTTATCACATGTAAAGAATGGCAAGTGATTTTTTCAAATTGAGTCTATTTTTCTGAAAAGTTTTAACAGTAAAAGATAAGTATAAACTTTTCAAATATGATAAGCTTTCCTTTTGGAGGAGTCATGCAGTAATAGAATTTTATTTATGTAATTTTATTTTATTTTTGTTTTGAACCCCAAGGCTACCAAATTTCAATCCAATTCTGTTTCAGTAATGATTTCTCATTGACTTCTGATGTATAATTTGCTTGCACCCATTCATTTCCCAGCACTCACAGATACCAGCATCCTTTTCAAGACCTCCACCTCTGTGGCTTTCTTTCCCCCAGCCCAGTGTAGATCTACCAGCACTCTTAACAAATTTTAAGTCTGCAATATAGTATTGTTAAACATCGGGATTTAGTCTGTGCTAAATGTATGAACTTAAAATAAATGACGTGAATAGTAGCTCTGTAAGTGCATCATAACGCTTTACATTTCACATGTGAGATAAATTACTGTACATGACGTCATGTGAACTGGCGAATGTCGCCTTTCCAGAGCTGTAAGTTGGAGAGGTCCTGTACCGATCTCACCGTTGAACAGTTTGGTGCTCCGTTGAAAGCCGCCTCTCAATTAGCCCCTCCTGCCATGCCTTTCTGTCTATGTTGCTGAGGATACGTTTCACTGCTTCTTTATATGAGATCCAACTATAGAACTGCTTTAGGTCAACTTTACTACTCAGCTGAGCATTAGGATTGTTGATTGGTGAGAGGGTTAAATGCCTTTATTCATGGCTTGTTTTTAATCACTCTCCTCATAAGAGAGAGCTCAAAATTAAGCTCTGCCTTCAAGCTTGGGACCTTAAACTGTTGTGCTTCTGTTCTGTGGCCCAGCACAGGCTCTGGGTTAGGGCTTAGACACTTGGCTTCACTGTCACTGGTTAGATCTGTGATCCAAGTAAGCCAGTTAGCTAGCTAAATAGTTTTCTTATCTATAAGTTAGGATAGTAAAGGTAATGCAGTGTTCAGATTTTTCTTCAGTACCTAAAGAGCCAACTCTTTGGTGAATTAGATGTTGTTTATTGCTCTCAGCGCGTGTTTTAAAGAGTAAGGGAGGAGTTGGGAAGCCTGGTGAGGGCTCCAAGCTGTCATTAAGTTGGGGGTGGAGGCAGGGCGGGGGCAGCTTTGTAGAGTACAACGGGGTGAGGCTGGGGCGGGGCTGGTGTTTTGCAGACTGTGTGTTAGAAGTGCCCCTGGAACAGGTCTTCTGCAGTAATTCTGAGGCACACTAAGGAATGCCCACAAATCTATGGTGTTTTCAGAAACAATGCCATGAAACATGCCATTCTGACGACGTAAATTTTCAGAATTTGTTGTGCCTTAACTGCAGGGTAGCCTTGGCCCAGGAAGTTTGATCTGCTACTTGCCCAACTTTGCTTAATGCTTCTGATCATGACTCCTCAAAAGGTTTCTGCCAAAGAGACAGTAGTTTGATAAATTTATATTTTAAAAACCTGTTTTTTAATTTGTGGGTTTTTGAATATGAAACATTTGCTGACTACTATAAGGGACATAAAGAAGGAATGTTTGCTTTCATCTAATTAGTGGACTGAGGAGTCAAATAGGTTCCTCAGAAGGGGTGAGGTGTTTAATGCTTCAGTATAGACAAGAGAACATACTTTCAAACTCTGTCCTTTACTTCAGGTATTGAAAGAGAAATTCATTCAGCAAACACTTCCTAAGTCTCACTTTGGACCATATACTTTGCTAAGTCTAAGGGACAGAGTTGAATCCGTTATCTTCTTCCTGTTCTCGGAGACCTTAAAGACCACTTTGTGCAGGAGGGAGGCACATGGAAACAGATGCCCATGGAAGCAAGTTTGCAGCCAGAGCTTGAAGAACAGAATGGTCCCCTGTGTATGGAGCAGGGTGTCCTGCCTGGGGGAGGCTTGCAAAACACTTGTGATTCTCAATAGCACTTCAGAAATTAAATGTATACTTTTACATAGGGGGTCTCCTTAAATGCAGATTTTGAAGCAATAACTCCAGGGTTCAGAAATAAGGACTGAAGGGAAAAGGGCCCATTGAGTTACAGGAAGGCAGAAGTGGAAGAAAAGAGTAGAACAGTGACGTGAAGCTTTTAGAGCTGTCAGTGCGCTGCTGCAGCACCTGTGCCACAGGTTTGCCCCTGTGAAGAGGGGTGGGGCATGGCATTAGAAGGCAGAGATTGGTAGGAACCAACTTTAGGGCCGCCCTTATACGAGGGAGGAAAGTATAATTCCAGTGTTTTGAGGCTATTTTTTTTTAAAACGGGGGAAATTGGACCTATAACAACCATAAATAAGCAGGAGTGTGTCTGTCCAAGTTGGGACACGCAACAAAGAATTTAAGAGATGAGTGGCATTAGGATTCAGGGCATTAGGGTTGCAGGTGGGAATTTGGGATTCATCTGTGGAGGAATTGAGTAGAGCATAAAATAAATAAAATATACTCTCCAAGAAAATGAGTTTGAAGAGAGTTGTGGACCATGGGAAGTGCTAATATTTAGGTCATCAGTGTGAGCATCAGGAGAGTGTATTTCAGAGATGTCGGGGGATCAGAAGCATACAGAGTTCAAGGGTAAGGGAGAGCACTTGTCATGAGGAAGAGTTAGAAACTTGAGCTGAGACCATTTAAATTTGTCAAGTAAACGGGATTAGAGAAATGAAAAAAAAGAATACTAATAATATAGCACCACCTGGTGTTAGGCATTAGACATTTATCAAATGATATTTTTCTCAACCAATTGAATTTTTGTTTTGGATGCCTTAAAATATTTTCACTGATTTTGTTTTTATATGATAGCCTACTGTGAGCATGGAGGAATTTATTTATTTTTGTAACACTACTGAGAGGATCATTATCAATTTGTATTTTGCTTTGATTTAAGCTTTGCCAAAAGCTTTTCTCTTGTACCATTCTTCTGACCTGTCTTCCACTTCAGAGAAGATGTGCGAGTTAATTGCTTCAGGTTGCTGAGTGACAGCTGTACTTCTCATAGCCAAGTTGCCTCATTGTTTGTGTGCTTCTGCCTTGAAATGTTGGACATAAATATGTATGATCCTGAATATTCATTCTGACTCTGTTAATGCGTTTGAGTTTACAAGCCTAATGTGCCAGCTTTCAAAATGAATAGCAGTAAAAACTTTTTTTTTTAAATCCCAAGGAAAAGCTGCATCCTTGAAAAGTTCACAGCCATCATGGGTGAATTTGCCTAGGTCACTTCCTCAGTCCAAAGGCTCTTTGAAAAGCCCCGCGCTGCAGAGAACAGGAAGCACCCCCTCAGTTGGCAGCACCCACAGCGATCCAAGCACCTACAGCAGTAATGGTGAGTTGGTCCTTGTCACACTGTTGGGGTTTTGAAATGATAGTTACAGGAAAAACCTCTGCTTTCTAAATAATTCATAAAATTTTCATTTTTGTATTTAGGGGAAAATTTACACACTGCTTTTTTGGAATTATGCAGAAAGTTTGGAAGGATAAACACATTCTTTAAAACGATGTTCCCTTTTGATGCATGTGCTATGAAACACTGAACAGTTATGTGCTGAAGGCGTCTGTTAAACTTTTGCATGGACGATCTAACGGGCATCATTTGCACTGATGGTATTTTGAGGTTTGTTTAACAAAAGAATAGTAACCTAGGAGCTCCTGGGACCCAACTGGAAATCAGACAGAAAGATCACTGCAGTTCTGTTACTCTGTAAAAGACTGAATCTTGAAATATATGTTTTGTAACCTTTTACTTTGAATGCTAGATTCAGTGCAATATGACCAACATAACTTTGAACCTGATTCTAAATCATTTAAACTCAGAAGAACATCTTTTAAGTTAATGTAAATTGGTTTTTTGTTATAAAGTGAGTGAATTAATTCAGCTATTCTTTTCTTTCAAAAAATATATTTGGATTTTGTACTTATTTTTTCACTCCCTTCATAAATAAACTCCAAATAATTCATGACTTAACCAGTTCTGACAGCTTCCATGTCCCTGCATTGCCCAGATGCTGTGAGAAGTGTAGGGGCCCTGCAGGGTGTGAATGAAATGGCCCTTTCTCTAAAAAGTAGTTGAAGAGGAAGATGTAATTTATGTGCATGACTAGAATATTGGATAAAACAGGATATAAGCATATGTGGAGGAGTGCAGAATTGTTCTCTCTGCTTTAAGCACAGATCAGTTTCTTCTTTTGAGTGAGACAATAGTGACAAAGCAGAATAATGGTTATTGAACACATCTGAGTGTGGAGATGTATTATAGGACATTATAGTATATTGTTTTTCTCTTCTATTTTCCTTGAGTAACTTCTGATGTTACTTTGACTTGATGTATGAGTAATTGAGGCTCAGAGACATTGCTACTGGTCCAAAGTCACACAGCAGATATGTGACAAAATAGTTTTTAGAGAATAAGGCATTGAGTTAATGACAGTTAATGAACACGTTTCTGACAGGTCACTTAGCAGTAGCTGGCTTCACATGCAGGTAAGTATCTGCATACTGACACTTTAGGAATCCTGAAATATGTTGCTTAAAACTAAACCAGACTTGTTTGAAGTTTGAAGTTTGAAATTGTAGCAAAATCCAGAAGGGTTTGCATGTAACAACTAATTCTCTGTGAATTTAAAAAGGTTATGTGCACGTGGATTATTTTAAGATCATTTCCCTCCTAACCATCTCTCTTCTAGTGTGAATTTTAAAAACAAACTCAGAAAACAGAACCACCGGCATGCTCTCAAAGCCGCAGCGATGGACTGGTGGCACTTAAAGCATTCACTTTGTGGCGTGCTGTAACCCAGGCTTTCTGTGTACAGCCATGTTGGCCTGGCCACTGCTTCAGTGCCATGTCTGACGCTCCTAAGGAGGCTGTAAAATCCTTTTGTCCATTCCTTTTTGTCTGTTAACAAAAGGGTTTGCCAAACACCCACAGAGGCTGTTTAGTGGGGATGTGTCCCTGTTGCAGATTAAGCATTCAAATCAGTGAGTCTCTTTCTTAGTTTGATTTGCTAGCTGGTTTAATCTGTTTTGTGTAGTGCCTTGGAGCTTACAGATTCCCCCTCTATTCTAATGCACTAAGAGCAAGCATGAGGGATATGAGACCGAACATGGCTGCAGTTTTCCCTGCGTGAGCTTGCTTTGATCCTTTTAAATGACTATACCAGGAGGATTTCGCAGTTGTACAGAAACTGATATTTCTTCAAAAATCTTTATCAATTCTACCCTCACCCCACCGGCTGGTTTAGAGAGGCACTATGATGCTACTTTATTGACACTGCTGGTCGTGGGATCCTACAGCCTTTGTATAATTCCTTTGTTAGCCACGTTTACTGGGAAAAGAAGTAGGTCGACGATTTCTGGTTTGATTCTTCTCTTTGTAAGCATGCTTAAATTTTAATTCAATAAATTGATTTTAGGACCTCTTGATTGTTATTTTTGTAATTTGTAATTTATGTTAACTGTTATATTTCTTGCACATACTTATGTTTATTTAAGATGTGAATGCTTCTTATAGAACCAATTTATTGTATATTTTATGTGTTTGGAAGTCATACTAAATATAATTTAGCAGCATTGTCAGTATTCTTGGCACATGAAATTGTCCTATTATCAAAGACTTTCATGGTTTAAATTTTGATTAAATAGGAGCTTTTGACTATGTGCTTACAATTGTGTAAATATAGACTAATACTTTCCTAGAATTAAATTGGAACACTACATCTTTGATTATTTTCTTCAATTATACTATACTTAATATACAATTCATATAAAAGTGTTGAACAGGTATACATTTTTAATGATTACTTCAAAATATGAAAAATTTTGAGCTGAAATTATCCTGCTTCTAATAATGAAGGGTCATGTTAGGAAATAACTCCTTTTGATCAATGTTTTGATTCTTACTGGTTTAAGCATTTGAACAATTCTAAAGAATGTTCTCTTGCTTTGATCATTTCTTTGTAATATGATACTGTTAGTGGCATCATTTAAGAACTTCTGAGCTGGCATATTGCTATTTTGATATGAGTATCTGTTCTTGATACTTCAGGATCCTATATAAATAACATCACGAGATGTAAAATAACTGAATGAAGGCGCTATTTTTTGGGAGTTTTAACAGGTTCTTTGTGTATGTTCTTTTAAGCATAGAAAATTTGGAAGTTAGAATAATGATTTCCTTTGCATATTAGTGTAAAGCTTTGCACAGTGATTTCTGTAGCAGACGTGCTCATTTAGAGTGGTTAAATATTATAAGCCCTTTCAGACTCAGATACCTAATGCTCAGTGTTTCAGGTTACTAAGTAATTGGAGAAAGAAAAATGGTACATACCAAGTTGACTAGAATGGTTTATAGATCATTGTGCAACTCAGAAGGAAATCTTAAAAGAGTGCATAATTTTGCAATATTAGCAGGAGTGTGGAGTTCGGAGACTTCTTTATCCTTCCCTTTGCCCATAAAAGCATATTTATTTTTGACGGGCAGATGGCGCGAGGCAGTGTAAGAGATACAAGCCAAAGCTGTTTGCACTCCCTTGGAAACAGGAGATCAGAAGGAGACTAAATAAAGTAGACTGTTTTTTTCCTTCACCTTTGTGGCTAGCTCTGCTGAGATGGGTGATACACAGAAAAGGGTATCAGCTCACCCTCAGACTTATCCTAGTTTTCCTACCAACTCTTGTGAAGGTAGAGAATTATTTCCTTCTTTTAGCCTCAGTCTTCTCATCTGATGAATGAAAGGAAAGGACTGGATCATTCTCAAGATCCTTACAGCAACAAATGTTTCTGACTTTTAAATTTTCTTTACTGTAATAAGATGATGCTTAATAGCTATAATGGAGAATGTTTTGAGTTGTTCAGGCGATTAAACTGGTTGAAAGAAGAATGAGTCTCTTTTACCCTCAGGTTTGTTTTTGTTTTTCTCATGGCAGGAATGGCAAGTGAGTATGGTCATTTAATAAGAAGCACCTGTAGTGTTGTTGCTTTCTCAGGGTGCTTCCAGGTTCAGAGGGAATTTTACATTTGACTAGTGATGTCTGCCATAAGTGAAGAGAATGTAAGGGACAGGCAGTATGGACTGCGGTCTGTACATGACAAGACATTTTAGCACTTACACACTTCTGAGTAGACTATTTGATAAACAAATATTATCCAGACCACTATTTGTTCCCATTCATTCATTTTAAGTGTTTTTCTAGGGCATAATGAGACAGTCTTGTTATTGCAAAGTTGAGTGAGTTTGCTTTGGAAATGTGAAAATTTATTCAGTAGTGATTTGATTTTAAACCAGGTGGACAGATGAGCTGGCACAGTAGGGAGTGTTAAACTGATTCATATGACATTCAAGAAATGAACAGAATGTTTGCTCTGTGAGTATGTACATAATCAAATAAACAAAACAAAAGTGAATTTCAACTGATGGTAGAATGTAGTATGAAATGCTAGTTTGTAAATAGAAATCTAGAGCACCAAGAAGCTCATTTTTATGCTTAGAATTTTCTGAGACTATTGCTTTATTTGTATTCCATCATCTCTCTTTCTCTTCATTTGAAACACATTTTGGAGGAGAAGTTTAGGAAAATAAAGATTCCATAGAATCTGTTACTCTAGTGTAATCCGATAGTAAGGACTAAAGATGACAACATAACAAGGCATATTTTTAACTATGTGTTATAGCTGAGACCTAAATAACCATAAGTGAAATTTCACATATTGACTCCATAGACCTAACTTCCTTGAGCGACTTTGGCCTCTGGAGCATGGTGTCAGGATGATTCTGAGGATGCATCTGGCCTTGGGACTGAGTACCATAGTCAGTAGTAGAGCCTGTGTATGAATTGTGAATTGTGTTATGAGTAAGTGTATTTTCATATAATTATGTATAAAATATAAGTATGTATCATCTGTTTCCATAAATGGTGTCCATTCCCACCTGTTCTACACAACAAGGTGAAGTGATTCAGTCCATTACACATGGCCAGGTAAGGACCAGGACTTGTATAGCCTGGAAAGGGTTCCATTACTTGAAACTGTTACACTTTGCTTAGTTTATTGGAATTAACTGAGGAGTTTAGCATCTGAGTATAATAACTCTGGATGAGGAAACATTTAGACATCAGGATACTGGACCCACTGCCATGTTCAGGTGCATCACGCCTCATAGTAATGTACGTCCTTCAAGTTTGGATTTGCTAACAAGCAGTGGGCCAGCTGAGAGTGTTTTGAGAATCGAGGGACAGGTTTCTGATCATAAAAGTATGTTCAGCTTACGACAATTTGTGCCCACTATTATTAGCAAGGTGGGATAGATATACAATAGATATCCAGCCAGGGGTGAATTGTGTTATGAGTAAGTATATTTTCATATAATTATGTATAAAAAATAAGTATGCATGCATTTGTATCTGAGCCAAATGCAGGCATTTTATTTTTTTCAATATAGATTTTGACTCTCGTGTGTTCCTGAGTTGTTGGATCTGGCGCTAGATCTTTGTTCTGTTGAACCTGTACAGGGCCAAGAGGCAGTTTATTTCCAGGGCAACACCTCTTGTGTGTGACCGCAAGCCAGCAGGGGGTCTCTCATGAGAAATCACTTCACTGAATTCTTTATAAACTGCAAGCTTCTCTAAAACTTAGAGAAGAAAAACATGCATTTAGTTACACTCAGTTGTATGTTGTTTTATAAGTTTGTAAGTTGAGCTGAATTTAATTTTTCAAAGTCTTAAAGCATAAATTGACCTAGTTGCTGCTGAATATGACAGAAATTGCCTTGAAAAGAGCAAGACTAAAATCCCTTTTAGTCTTGGGTAAGACTGTGATAATATCCCTGACTTCTTGTACTGGGTTTGATTCTGCAAAAACTGAAATGCTTATTGAGACCTCACGTGCATTTTGTGTGAAAACCTAAAAAAATGTGCTCTAAGAGATTTTGATTCTGTCATGTTAAACCTAAAGTCACCGCCGTCTGTCATTTGGGGAGTTATGATGAGCTCCCACACTGGCACCTGCCTATAATCCCAGCACAGGAGGGAGACTGAGGCAGGAGAATTACAGATTTAACCCTAACCTAGACAACTTAGCGAGACCTTGTCTCAAAATAGAAAACAAAGGACTGGGGATGTAGCTCAGTGGGAACATACTGGGTTAAATCCCTGGTATTCTGTCCCCCAAAAAAGTTATGGTGAAGGGCTGGGGATATAACTCAGCGGTAGAGTACTTGCCCAGCCTGCACAAGGCTCTCAGTTCAATTCCCTATGCTGCAAAAACAAAAAAAGGGAGAGGAGTAAAAGTTATATTGAGTTTTATATTACTTGTGTCTTTAATAGCATCATCTCCACTAGCTTTCTCCCAACCTTGGAAAAAACAAGTTTTTAGATTCTGGAGAAAGTGCGAATTGGAGTGGACAGGAAATTGATAGAAGTTGATCAGTGGGAGGGAAGGTTCTGTGTTGGACCTAATATTAGAAATGTTATGTGGATACGAGGAGAATGAACAGATGGCGCGTTGTACAGGACCCGGATATGGACCAGGGAGAATAGCACCGTGTCCTTACAAGCCCCAAGTGACAACTATAAGCACTGTTGTGGGGGATGGGGTTATTTATTCTCGGGAAAGTTTCCAGCTGTCTGCATGTGTGTAATGTGTTTGTAAGCAAGGCAAATTCCTTATTTTGGTGGAAGTATGAGATAAGGAAATGACTTAAAGTTGGTAATAAGTTTTTAACTGTGAGTGTAGAGCAAACTTGAGCACTTAAGATTAGGTGTTGAAGATTATTGAGAAACAATTTTTAAAATCCAGTTGGTAGAGAGGAAATTTTACATTGTAATATAAAGTGATTTTCCTGATTTAAGTTTTCTTTGTGTTTTCCTTTGGGGCTGTGTACCTTAGTAATAAAGTAGGTGTTGGCATTTTAGCTTCTTTTAAAAAAACTTTAATTGGTACATGTTTGCAGTTCATGCAGATTGCAGTCATCTTGGGGAGTAGTTATATGTACATGCTACTGCTTGTTTCTTCTTTTAAATTCCCCTCTCCTCAGCCCTGGCCCCTGTGCCCCTGGCCCCTTTCTCATATTTGTTGGTATTGCTTGTCTTAGCTCATGCTGTGGTGCATAGTGTTTAATTGTGGCTATTAGGTCCCTGTACACAGCGTATGTTTATTCTTCTTAATTCTCCTTTCCCTACTCCTCACCCCTCAGCCTTGTTCCCTTGGTCCACTTCCCTATTACAAGAGCTCTGCCCCTCTGTCCCTTTCTCTCATCCTTTAACATCACTTAGTATTGTATTTTCTAGGTGCATCCATTTTCCTACAAATTTCTCAAATGTGTCATTCTTTATGGCTGAGTAGTATTCCATTATATATACATACCACATTTTGTTTATCCAATGTTGATGGGTATCCTAGTTGCTTCCAGGATTGAGCTACTATGAATTGTGCTGCCGTAAACACTTGCATGCATGTATCCCTGCGATACGATATCTTAAGCTCTATGGGGAAGATACCTAGCAGGCAGTTAGCTGGGTAGTATGGTATTTCTAATTTCACTTCTTTGAGAAATCTGCATACTAATTTCCATAGTGGCTGTACTAGTTCACATTCTCATTAACAATACAGGAGGGGCTGGGGATTTAGCTCAGCGGCAAAAGCGCCTGCCTGGCAAGCGCAAGGTCGTGAGTTTGGTTCCCGGTACCGGAGAAAAACCAAAAAAAAAAAAAAAAATACAGAAGTTCTTCCTTTTTCAGCCTAGCCACATCAGCATTTGTTATTGTTGATTTTTAATGATAGCCATTTTTTCTGGAGTAAAACAGAGTCTTAGCAATGTATTTAACTTGCACTTCTGTAATGGCTAAATTCATTGAACATTTTTTCATAGATTGTTGACCATTTGTGTTGCTTCCTCTGTGAAGCATCTGTTCATTTCTCCTGCCCATTTCTTAACTGAGTCTTTAATTTCAGGTGGTTTAATTATTTTTTTAGTTCTTTCTGTACTCTAGATATTAATCCTCTGTCTGAAGAGAAGCTGGCAAACCCTTTCCTATTCTGAGGTTGTCTCTTCATTCTACTGATTGATTCCTTCACTGAACAGAAGCTTTTTAATCTGATATCCCATTTGTTGATTCTTGCTGCTATTTCTTGTGCAATTGAAGTTCTGTTTAGGAAATCCTTTCCTATACCACATCTGTGTCTTCAAGTGTTTTACCTATTTTATCTTCTAGAAGATTTAATGTTTCTGTTTTAATGTTTAGATCTTTGATCCATTTTTAAAACATTTTTTAATTTTAAGGAGAATCATAAAAGTAATAAAAATACAGAATTTTAAGACAAGATGATAGGAAATTAACAATGGTTGATTTTAATTTAATATATGGTGAGAGATAGCAGTACGGTTTCATTCTTCTGCAAACAGATAACCAGTTTCCCATCACCACTTGTTGAATAGGCTATCTTTTTTTCAACATATGCTTTTAGACCCTTTGTCAAAGATCAAATAGTTGAATATGTCTGGGGAGGTTTCTGTATCCTCAATTCCATTCCATGATCCACATGTCTATTTTTCTTCCAGTACTATGCTGTTTTTACCACCATAGCTTTGTGATGTAGCTTATAGTCTGTGCTACCTGCTTTGCTCTTATTGTCCAAAATTTCTTTTGCTTTTCTATGTCTTTTCTATCTCCATATGAATTTTGGGATTGTTTTCTGTAGATCTGTAAAGCATTCCAGCTTCTTGGAGCAGCCAGCGACCAGGCCTATATTCCATCCTTGTAGCTACTCGCGAGTTTGTCCATTATTGCTCCTGCATCACTAGCATTGATGGCTGCCTGCTCTCTTCCTTGTCCTCATGGGGAGGGATGCTCCTCCTATTCTCCCATGTGCACCTTAGACTTGCTTGGACATAGTATATATGGCCATGTAGTTTATCTCCCAACTTTTATCTGGGATGAAAGGTAAATTGGACAAGGTGCATAAACTTGGATCATGCTAGACAAACTAGAATGTATGGTTATGGTGGTTGTGGCATTTATCTTGCATCCCTGAATGTATAAACTACCTCTGTATTCCCACCACCCAGGAGCAACCAGCAGACTGTAGGTATTTAGTAGGCATTTGTTGACTCAAGGAAGATAAGCATAAAAGGCTAGCACCACACTTACTTATAAACTCAGGTGTGCCCTCCTGTTGTGTTACAGCTGGTAATGCTGCTGCCGTCAAGCACGAGGGGAACCCCTCCAAACCAGCATTTCAGAATGGCTCAGGATCCTTTCGTTTGAAGACTTTGGCACCCAGAGCTCATGTACACTTGCTAAAAACTCCTCCAAAAGGTATTGTCCTCATTGTGGATAGAAAGAGAGCAAAACTTTTACAGTCATTGGCTTGTAAAAAGTTACATTTTGACATTAAATTTATAGTAGACTTTTTTAAAAAAAATTCTGTCAAGTAAGGAGATGTAATACATTTTTATACCAAGAGAGTTGTTCTTGTTCTGAGAGTCCATAAGCTCTGTGGGTAAGGTGGTTACATACATAAATCAGGAGGCAGAACAAGGGCATCAGGTAAAAATAACAAAAACTTAAATTATTACAGTTCTCTAGAGTGCTAGATAGAAAGAAGCAGAAATGCATGATTTACTTCCCATCTCTAGCAGTGTTTATATTTGTTACTTTAATGTTGCTGGCCCAGAACCATGTTTTTTCTCTCTCTCTTTCCAGCTCTTTACTCCTTCCTATGTCACTCACTTTGTAATTGTTGTGATTACGAAGAATAATTTTCAGGTTTATAAAACATGGAATGTACAATTTTCATGTAACTTTAACACCATGGGTCTCAGGTGCATAAGAAATTTTCAGTGTTTGTAGTGAATTGAAAGATTGCTTCACTGAAACAATAATTGTGAATGAGAAATAAACCTATGAAATGCAACCTATATTTATATTAGAGAATTTGGAAAACAGAAAAAGAGTCTTCCTTAATTCTACCAACAGGGCCAGGC